ACAACTGGCTGCTATTCTTTGACAATGCTGATGACCCAAAAATCAATCTGAATGATTATTTTCCCCAATGTGATCATGGGAACATTCTCATCACATCTCGGAACCCTGCACTATGTGTTTATGCTGGTTCACATTCTGCTGTCTCTGGCATGGAAGAAATAGATGCTGTGGATCTATTGCTGAGAAGTGCTGGTGAAGAGAATACAGATTATAACCGAACAACTGCTGCTCAGATCGTGAAGGTGAGCCACAGTATTCATGACTCATATATACATTCATTCAACATTTTTCTAGGTGCTCTGTTTTCTGCCCCTTGCAATCATTCAAGCTGGTGCATTCATCTCAAAGTCAGGTGACATTGACAGCTATCTGGCACTCTATGAACAGAATCGAGTTCGACTGCTGAGTCAAAGGCCTGCTCAGTCCCATGATAATTATGCCTGGACTGTATATACCACATGGCAGATCAGTTTCGATCAGCTCAGTCAATCTGCAGCAACCTTCCTACAGCTCTGCTCATTGCTCCATCACCAAGGGATCTCAGAGAAAATATTCAAGAATGCTGCCACTTACAAATTTGGGCCATCTAGCCCATCTAAAGAGGAGTTACATATACCTCTTGAATACTTATCACAGTTCTTAGGACCTGATGGGGTGTGGGATTCCTTTTGTTTTATGGAGATGACAAATGAAATCAGAGCCTATTCTCTGATCAATTTTCACCCACAAAAAAAACTGTTCTCAATACATCCTCTTGTGCATGGTTGGACTCAGAGTACTCTCTCAGACAAAGAATCCTACCATCATTTTGTCGTTGCAGTAGTAGGAATGTCACTGGCTAGATTAGCAGAGAGAGATCTTGAGCTTGCAAGCTCATGGATGCAGCCTCACATTGATTCCTTAATACAGGATAACATAAATGTAATCCCAGATTTCAGACATGAGTATGGGAAAATATATTTATGGGGAGAGAAGCTGAAACAAGCAGAGGAGCTTCAAGCAGGGGCATTTCAGAAACGGAGGCATCTTCTGGGTGAAGACCATCTGGACACTCTTGAAGCTATGTTTTGGCTGGCACAGATATACAGAAGCCTGGGCAAATTTAAGGAGGCAGAACAACTTGAGGTTGTGGTGTTGAAGCAACGAAGGAATATTCTAGGTGACAACCATCCAGCTACCCTGGATGTTATGGAAAATTTGGCAGTCACATACAACAAGTTGGGGAAATTGAAGAAGGCAGAGGAGCTTGAAGTTGTAGTACTTGAGAAGCGGAGGGATCTTTTAGGTGACAGCCATCCAGACACCTTGATATCTATGGGGAATTTGGCAGCCACATATCAAAATCTGGGGAAATTAAAGGAAGCAGAGGGGCTTGAGGTTGTGGCTCTTGAGAAGCGGAGGAATGTTTTGGGTGAAAATCATCCAGACACCTTGGGAGCCATGGGAAATTTGGCACGCACATACCAAATCTTGGGGAAATTGAAGGAGGCTGAGGAGCTTCAGGTTGTGGTACTTGAGAAGCAGAGGAATACTTTGGGTGACAGCAATCCAAGCACCGTGATTGCTATGGGGAATTTGGCAATCACATACCAAAGCCTGGGAGGATTGAAGGAGGCAGAGGAGCTTGAAGTTATAGCACTTGAGAAGTGGATGGATGTATTTGGTGACAACCATCCGAACACCCTGCAGGGTATGGGGAATTTGGCAGTGACATACCGAAAGCTGGGGAAGTTTAAGGAAGCAGAGAAGCTTGAGGTTGTGGTTCTTGAAAAGCGGAGGAAGATTTTGGGTGACAACCATCTAGGCACCCTCCGGGCTATGGGTAATCTGGCAGTCACATACAACAAGTTGAAAAGATGGCAGGAGGCTGAGGAGCTTGGGGTTGCAGCATTCAAAAAACAGATGGATTTGTTAGGTGACAAGCATAGATGGACTTTAGAGACCATGCAAAATCTGGCAGTGACATATGAACAAATGGGGAAATTGAATGAGGCAGAGGATCTCAATACAATTCTCAGAGGGAGTCAAGTTTAATTATGTTATTACAATTTATGTTATTCCGTGGTTAATCGCCTCAGTTGAATTTGGTTTGGTTTTCGAGGACATGTGGGTTCAAATCCCACTGGAGGCATTTTCTATCATGGTCACTTTTTGTTTCTCTTTCGTTGAAAGCCCCATTGCTCAATATGATACCCCATTATGCACACTCTGGATAATATTTAATGCTAGGTGTCCTCCAATGTAATGCTGCTGTAGTCTCTCCTGACAGACACATTATTGATTCTAGCTCGTTCCTCACTCAATAAAGTCTGTTGGTTAGCACGCTTGATAACTGGCGGCCTGCGTTATTATATAATATCTCCCTTTCTGGGACTCACGTGCACAGTCCATTGACACAACTTGAATGTGTCTTAGAGGTAGCTGGGATTGAGGGGAAAAATTAAGGTTACCATTCCTAAATAGACACTTTCAAATGTCTCCTCAATTTTTCCTGGCATCAATAGAGCCAGCGGAGTTCCTCTACAAATATTTTCATCTGATTTTTGTCATTCCTCCTCGGAAACACCCCACTGTGTTCAATGTGTGAAACTAACCATCCCTGATGTTTAGGATAGCTGTCTTCAATGTGTTCCCCACCATCCGAGGAACTTCCTGAACAGTGAAGAAGAGAATCGCGTCTCGATGCGTCTCGGCTAAGTTCCCAAAACGGACACTTACATAATAACACAGGCCGCCTACTAAATCAGCGTGGTAACCAACGGACTAATGCTGCCGGCATGATTTTGCTGGCCCACTTGGATGAATGTGTGTGGGATGCCAGGCAGCCTCTGGATTAATGGTTAATCACCTCAACTATGTATTGTATCCACTGTGGGCGTTGTGAACGCCCTACGCCTGGCCCAGCGAATGTGACAAGAGACACACGGAATCTACACGCCAAACGATATCTGCGCATCCATATTCGGATACCACCTTACCGGATTGGGAGTCTCGCTAGACTTGCGCTTTGCACACCCTGTTCACCTCGTCTCCAACCATGTCCACCACCAACCTAGCATGCTCTACATGACTCCGCCTCTCGCACATTCCGTTCACCACCAAAACTACAGCTCCGGTGGAATCGCCTCCACATCCGTCGCATATCTCCTTCACCACCGGAATCTCCCGTTTACACCTCTCGCACATACCCCTCACCAGTGAACAACCACCATCGCTCACCCGCTCTTCCCATTCACACCAGCGAACATACCATTCACCAGCGAACGACCACTTTCGCTCACCAGAAGACCTCGTTCACACCTGCGGCACCATTCACCGCCTCGTGTTGCAGCCACAGGGGATGAAACACGAGGATCCTTGGGCACGAGGCCCGATGTATCGGACATTTTCAAGCAAACATACTGTTCACCAGCGAACGACCACTTTTGCTCACCAGAAGACTTCGTTCACACCTGCGAACACACCATTCACCGCCTCGTGTTGCAGCCATAGGGGATGAAACACGAGGATCCTTGGGCACAAGGCCCGATGTATCGGACATTTTCAAGGTATAAAAGGGAGATGTAGTTTTGGGCAGTAGTCAGTCAATAGTGGATTCACACCCCCTGGTCCATCCTCACACACACTCTTGTAAAATCCACACCCAATCTAATTGACCACGCACACACACACACACACTTGTCCTTCGGACATTTCATCGCCCTCCCTCGCCGTTGTCTCACCCAGAGCCGGCACACACACACACACTCCGGTTTTATCGCCAGCAGACCTTCCTTCACGAGTCGCAGCACCCTGTAGAAGTGGGAACGACGATAAAGCACTAGCAAAGCATCTACAATATACCCCTGGCGGCGATCGCACACAAGCTACGCATCGAACGCAGGATATAGTCGACGTCGAAGGATATCTTCACGCTCCCGAAACCGTGGTCAGAGCATCGAGGGGAACACAGTAGAGGAACGATAGAAGCCCCTTCGGATTAGGCAAGCAGCAGATTAGTGGAATTACAGGCTCGCGCAAGTACTTTCTTTAAACCTCTCTTTCGCTAACCTCGAACCTCACGTTCGAACACACTATCATTTACACAACAAACACGTCTTTCTCCCCCCATACCTCACACTTGAATTCGACGATACTAGCCCCTCAGAGGACGATCAAGCTGTTTTCAAGTGAAATATAACTCACTTCGCAGTACCGCAGTCCGCATCACACCGCACTGATTTCTTGAGGACATGTGGGTTCGAATCCTACTGGAGGCATTCTGATTTCTTCTCCACTTCTTTTTTCCTTTGCTTTCATTTTCTTTCATTGAAGGCCTCATCGATCAATATAATATGTCACGGTGTACATGCCCAGCAGTGGAATAGAATTACAGGCTCAGGATAATATCTACATAATGCCAAGGTGTTCTACAATGCAGCACAACCTTGCTTGGGCATTTAGTTGACAATGTAGCTCATGCAAGGAAGCTTTTGTGGATCACACCATGGGACCACCATGTCTCGTGCCGATGTGGGTTCAAATCCCACTGGAGGCATACATGTTGAAGATGTTTTTCCCCCTCCTTGCTCTCTAGGGATTAAAAGCCCTGGGCTCGAGTGCATTGCTATTTCAATTTGCCCACAGTTGATCAATTGAACAGGAGAATGTGATTACAGTTCTGTCAATCCTCCAATTAAATGCTGGCATGGGTACTTCTGTGGATTAGTGGCTGATCACCTCGAACGTTTACGTCGGAGTAGATTTTTATTGAGGACACATGGGTTCGACTCCCACCGGAGGCATGTTTAGGGTGTTAGATATTTTTTTTTTCTTTGCTCTTTCATTTTTCATTCCAGCCAGGGTCCGAGTCACTATGCTATTTTAGCAGTTGAGCAAGTGCGACAATGGCAGACTTGGGATAATACTTAACCGGCGCGATCCCATTTTAGAAACATACCGTGTGTTTGATAAGGGTGAGGAGGTGCCTACTTAGCTGAATGTGTATAATATACAGAAGAGCCTCTGTGGATTAGTGGTTAAATCACCTCGATTAGGTTTCGCGAGATTTCTGAAATTTTCGAGGAGGTGTGGGTTCGACTCTCACCAGAGGCATGGTGTATTATGTTTTTTTCCGCCCCCTCCCTGCTCTGTGGGGATTGAAAGGCCCGGGCTCAAGTGCAGTATTATTTTTACATCTGCATTACGACCCCACTCACAGTTGATCAGTGAGCAGTGGAGCAGGAGAATGTGATTACAAAGTTCTGTTGACGCTCCAATTAAATGCTGGCACGACCTTGTTTGGATACTTAGCTGAATATGTAGTCTATGCAAGGAAGCCTTTGTGGATCAGTGGTTGATCACCTTGAATGTTTAGCGTCGCGTATTCCTATATCGAGGAAACGTGGGTTCGACTCCCACCTGAGGCATGTTCGGGGCGGCGTTAGATATGTTTTTTCCTTCTTTGCTCCTTCATTTTTCATTTTTCATTTTTAGCTATGGAAGTTCGAGTCAATATGCTACCTGTACATTTAGACGAGCAGTTGAGAATACAATAGGAGACTCAGGATAATATTTGATGCCTTCAAGGTGTCCTCCAATGCAATGCTGCCAGGACAACATTGCTTGCCTACTTGGCTGAATGTGTGTTAGTTGTAATCAAGCCTCTGTAGATTAGTGGTTAATCCCCCTAGTCTTGTTTCAATTGATTCCGGAATATTTCTGAGGAGAAGTGGGTCCGACTACCCCCAGAGGCATTCTAGATTTCCTCTTTTTTTCTCTTTCTCCTTCGTTGAAAGCTTGATTGCTCAATATGATCCCATTATGAAAGTTGAGAAGACAATTACACATTCAGGATAAGTAGGTGCGGTCCTATTTCAGATTCGCCTGTCGACTATGTATGTAATTCAATGGTGATATGACCTTGCTTGCCTACTTGGCTGAATGTGTGTGTGATATATATGGAAGCTTCTGTGGATTAGCGGTAATCGCCTCGATCATATATATAAGTTGCATGGAAACTGATTTCTCGAGGAGGTGTGGGTTCGAATCCCACCAGAGGCATGGTGTATCATGTTTTTTGCTCCCTCTTTCCTCTTTCATTTTTTCATTTTCTTTCGGCAGTCCGTCTTACATACAGCTGAGCAACTGAGTGAAGAGTTGAGGATAATTTTTAACCGACGCGATCCCTTTTCGACTTCACATGCCGTCTCAGTAATTCAAGGTTGAGGGACCTACTTACTGTACTATTTCGACCAAGTCTTCAGGTGACGCGTGACACGGCCCTCTGAATTGAAGACCTGAGGTACCGGTGACGGTGACACTCGAAAAATGAAGACCTATAAAATTGTAGTCCTAAAAAGCTCTAAAAATCGTTTCTAAGATATGAAAAAATCTCCTCGAGAAAGTGCGCAAAAGAAAAGAAAAATTAACGAAATTAATTAAAAATTTAATGTCCTTCCCAAAGCGACGCGTCATAACACCTAGGCCCGACTCTCTTGCGCTGGCCACGGCCGAGAACCACAGGGACGACTTCATCGGCTTTCAAATCAGACTTCTCTACATCACCTGCACGCGCAAGGCCCCCGTTCTCGCCAATGGTAAAGTTCTTGGCAACTGAGGTGCCACTGGAAGTGAGAAACTCGGAGACAACATCGAGGGGGATGTTGCAGTCATCATAAATGTTGACATCGAGGTAAGGGTCCTCAACGTCCTCAGTGGGGTCCGCCGCAGCCCGTTGCGAAATCTCGGCGTAAAAGAACGGGGTCTTCGGTGGGTAGCCGAATAAGTCTTCGGTGGGGAGCCGAATAAGTCTTTCGAGTACCTCTGGCGAAGTAAGACTGGCTTGCAAATCCAGTCCAATTTTTTGAAAGCTGTATCGTCGCTCATTGGTAGTGACCGTGGATGAGGAATGTTTTTGAAAAATTGTTATTATTTATTTGTTCTGTCTAGGCAAAAATGAGAAGGCGAGATATGTCCCCACACATCAAACTCAATAAGGCAACTGCTTCACGTGACCTCCGGGGCCTCCGGCGCATTGTATAGGCAATAATTGTAAACATGCATGTGGCAAGTATAAGCCCGCTAAAAAAAACGGAATAAAGCACCCTAAATTCTCTAATATATGCCATTAACAGAAGGGGATTTCTCAGAGCTACACGATATTTACAGTGGCGCTGTCTGTACACGGGAAAGTTGGGGATGAAAGGGGGATGTTTTGAAGAAAATGTACGCGTTCAGACGTGTCAGCACGCGTCTTTTGATCAAGGAAGAGGATATGGATGATGGGGTAGGTATTTGAAAGAAAATCAGGGTAGGGAAGGGCTCACGGGGGTGTGCCACCGAGATTCAAGCTCCGAAACCTCCCTCAAATGAGGAGATATCAGAGGGGGTTAGAGGGGCGGATGATGGGGGGCTCAATGGAGGGTGAGGGGTGGTCTATGCTGGATGAAAGAGAGGGCAGTAGTAGCGAGGTCATTGTGGTAAGAGGAAAGAGATGAATTGACAGGACAAACAACTGCTCACAAGGCTCCGGAGCTCCGGAGGTCACGTTTTGTTGTTACCATATTCGGTTTGATCTGTGGGGACAAATCTCAAAGGCTGCAAAAATGAAGACATTGCCGGGCGTGAAGCGAAATTGCGCAGCTTCTCCAGCTCCTTGTGGCCGTTCCGCTTCTTCCGGCAGTTATTTTCAGAAATGAAGACTTGAACAGTCGGTGACACCTGCACCGGCAATCTGAAGACTTAGGAAAATGAAGACCTTAGGTGACGCGTGACATGGGCTGAAGACTTGGTCGAAATAGTACAGTATATGAATGTGTGTGGATGGAAGGAAGCCTCTGTGGATCAGTGGTTAAATCGCGTCGACTATGTAGCTCCGATGTCGATGAAGTGTGGGTTCGAATCCCACCAGAGGTATGTGGAAGTCGCTGATTTTTTTCCCTCTTTGCTCTTTCATTTTGTCATTTTTCATTCGGCAGTCCATCGATTCAGATTCGTCTTACATACAGTTTAGTGAGTTGAGAATGTAATTACACACTCCGGATAATCTTGACCGGCGCGATCCCGTTTCGGACGGTGTCTGATTCAAGGACGAGCTGTCTACTTGGCTGAATGTGTATGAGGTGTGAGGAAGCCTCTGTGGATTAGTGGTTAATCGCCTCGATCATGTGTTGTTTAAATAAACTTCCGATATCGGGGAGTCGTGGGTTCGAATCCCACCGGAGGCATCCAGTCCAAAGTCATGCATTTTTGTAGATGTCTCCTTCTGTTTAGTTTGTGTTCCGGAAGTCTTTTTGAAACACACGCGTGAGAATGTCCATCATTTGTTGAACGAGTACCTCCAGGAATTGTGCGATCGGGGACTCACCGGTAAGGTTTAATAATAATTGATTCATTTGCGTCGCGGGGTCGTCGAATTTGTTGGGAATCGATTGGAAGTACTTGCACCTTGTTCCGACTGGGCAGGCATGAAGTTGACCCCCCGAAGTGGGGAATAAATTACATCCCCGCAGTTTGTTTGAAATGCAAGCACACGACCCCGGTCTTAGAAATAGACACCCCGGTCTTGAAATACACATGCATAGGGAGGCTGGAGCTCCGTACCCCGCTTCCCCGCATCGCCTGGATTGGCCTGGGCTGGTTAATTGAATTGACGGGCGGATGGCTGATCACATCAGCTGACGGATCGCGATTCGCGTAGCCTAACCGCCTAAGCCATTTCCTCCCACCGCCTTTCACACTCGCAGACTTGAGTCCCACTGCGCCGCCGTAACGCCTTGAACAATCGAAGGAGGAGCGGAGGGTGGGAAGGAAGCGAAGAAGGAGGGAAGGAAGGGAGGACGTAAGGGACACGGGTAAAAACAGGAGGCGAGTAACGTCGTTTGGTGGATGAATTTTTTGGACTTGGTATCGGGCTGGCGTGGGATTACGTGGCGCGCCTGATCAGCAGATGCGGGTCGGGCGGGTGTATATAAACCCACCCGGACCTTTATAATCCCCATCCTCGACGCTTCATTCTCCTCCCCACACCCCCACACCCAACACCAATACTCAATACACAGCATGCCGACAACGTTCGCACACGAGTGGAAGACGGGCGCGTTCACGGGCAAAACCGACTTCAATACGGGTGTGTATATCGATGGCGAGTGGCGCGACGGCTCGGGCGGGGGGACCATTGAGTGCGTTTCCCTTCCTTCCTTCACTATAAGAAGATGCTAACGCGCCTAATCGCAGCGTTATCAACCCGACGAACGGGAAGCTGATCACCAAGGTCGCGGAGGCGACGCAGGCGGACGTCGACCTCGCGGTCAAGGCCGCGCAGAGGGCGCTCGACACGACATGGGGGCTCAACGCCAGCGGCGCAGAGCGCGCCGCCCTCCTTAATAAGCTCGGGCTGCTCATGGAGCGCGATCAGGACGTTATCAGCGCGCTCGAGGCGCTCGACAATGGCAAGACGTTTGGGTGGGCCAAGGGCACGGATGTGGCGTTTAGCATCGCGACGGTGAAGTGAGTTCGCGTTTTTTTCTCTCTTCCTTTTTGTGTGAAGATGATACTGATGTGAATGCGATAAGGTACTACGCGGGCTGGGCGGACAAGGTGACGGGGCAGACGCTCGAGACGGACGAGAAGAAGCTCATCTACACCCGCCATGAGCCCATTGGCGTCGTCGGCCAGATTATCCCTTGTAAGCCTCTTTTCCCTTCTTATCCCATTTCGTCTACCTCTGCGATGTGCGCGGAGGGCCCTCGAATGCTCAATGGCACCCTTCCGTTACCCTTACGCACCTGTCGCCACTTACGCCTCCACCCTATTACCCCCTTCCTAACTCGTTCCTTACGCACGCTAACGTTAACCCCACCCCCAGGGAACTTCCCCTGCTCATGTTCGCGTGGAAGATCGGCCCTGCGCTCGCAACAGGAAACGCGATCGTGCTCAAGGTGTGTGCGCGTTTCTTACTCCGGCTCTCGGCGTTTCTGCTTGGTTTCTTTGCTCTGCTTGGTTTCCTTCGGCGTCCTTTTGTTTTGCTTTCGAGAACGAGATGCTCCTTTTGTTTTCATTTCCGGGAGCGAAAGGCTCTAGCTATCTTCACCATAGCGTCCTTCATTCTGCATACATTCTGCCAGCTCGCTGCACATGCACACATCCCTGCATCCACCCTGCATCCACCCTACCATTATCATAATCCCTTCCCTTCATCTTAACTTCATCCCGTTCTCCATCGTCCGTTCCCGTCGCTGTCCGCCCTCATACCCTGCCGTTACCCCTTATCCCCATTCCCTCTCGCCTGCCTGCCTGCGTAGGCGCGGTGGGGCGGCGGGTAGGCGCTGCTCGTTCTGCGTTCTGCATCTTGCGTTTGACGTGACCTCCCTATCCACTATCCATGCTGCCTGCTTATTCTCTGGCTCTTCTTCGCCCGTTCTTTACTCTTCTCTGTCTCTTCTATCTGTTTCCTCACCTACTTTGCCCGGTGCTAACCCTCTTCTCCCCAGCCCTCCGAGTTCACGCCCCTCACCGCGCTCTACATGACCAGCCTCTTCGCGGAGGCGGGCTTCCCCAAGGGCTCGGTTAATATCCTTGTTGGGTGCGTTGTTTTCCTCTACGAGTTTTTTTCTTTCGCGTCGCTCCTTCTCCTGCCCGGCGCACTCTCTCCCGCCATGGTTCCTTCCACTTCCCTTCGTCTTGCGATGATTGCACCCACTCCTCCGCGTCCCTTCTTCCCCGCCTTCTGAGCTACCGCTCCTGTATCCTTCGCCCTCTGCTATCGTGTTCCCCCTCCCTCCCTACCTCCTCGTTCGCGTCCTTTCTTCCCTTCCTGTCACTTTCTGCGTCCCTGCCCCCCGTTCTCCCTCACTCCCTCCCCTCGTCCATCCCTTAGTGAGGCACACGCTAACCCCCGCCCGCAGGTACGGCCACACCGTCGGCCAGGCGATCTCGGAGCACATGGACATCCAGAAGGTGTGTTCCGCCCCCAACTCGCCTTGTCTCCACCTCGTCGTCGTCTTTTTGCTCGCGACATATCCATCGCGCCTTCACCCTCGCTGGCCCTTCCCTCGCACGACCCCCACCCCTCCTCCCCGTCACCGCCGCTTCTCACAGTTCCTCCGTCCATGCGCGTACACCACTCTTCGGGCTTTCCTTTCCTCGCCTTCCTCTATGATCGTTCCTCGCTCATATCCCACCCATCCTTCTCCTCCCTTCCCTACACCCACCGTCGTGCCTCTTCTTTCTCCCCCGATTCCTCCCACTTCTCCTGGCTTCCCTTCGTCTCGCCGTTCGTCCCCCGCTCCTTCCGCACCCCTCCTTCCGCTTTTTCGCCGCTCCTCCCTCTTCCCGTCACGTCCCTTCCTCGTTCCTGGCTCATATAACCCTCCACGTCCCTTGCTCGACGTACTCCCGCCTCTCCTTGCCCAACACCTTCTCTTCATGCCCTCGTCGATCCTTCTTTCCTCGCATGCCCTCCTCGATCCTTCTTTCCTCGCATGCACCTCCTCGATACTGCCTTTCCTCGCACACACCACCATTGTCCCTGCGCATATCGTCCCTTGCTCATATCACCTCACCCTTCTTTCACCCCGTGCACGACGTGTCCATGTCGCCTCTCGCGGCCATCCTGTGTCGGTCCTCAGCGCCGTCTTCTCCCCCCCCTTCCCCACCGTCGTCCCTCCCCACCTTCGCCCCTCCCTTCGCTCCTACCCAACCTCTTACTAACTCTCTCCCTTAGGTCGCCTTCACCGGTTCCACGCTCGTCGGGCGCAAGATCATGGCGGCGGCCGCGGCGTCGAACCTGAAGAACGTGACGCTCGAGCTGGGGGGGAAGAGCCCGAACATTGTGTTTGACGACGCGGACCTGGAGCAGGCGGTTGGGTGGAGTGCGCATGGGATTTTGTGAGTCGTCTTGCTCATTTGTTTCCCCTTGGGCATCGACGGCGCGCGCCCCAATGAAGGGGATGAGGACGGAGCACCACGCGCACGGGCGCATGTGTTCTCGCACGCTCGCTGCTGCTTCGTCGCCTTCACCCATACGCTGGAGCGCGCATGAGGCAGCTCGTTGTCCCCTCCTTCAGCCGCTGCTCACCTCGCCCCTCCCCTCCCCTCCCCCTCCCCCTTCCTTTGACACCACTAACCCCTCCCCCAGCTGGAATCATGGCCAAGCCTGCTGCGCCGGCTCGCGCATCTACGTCCAAGCGGAGATCTACGACAAGTTTCTCGCCGCGCTCACGGAGCGGACGAAGAAGATCCGGCTTGGGGACCCGTTTGCGCTCGATGTGGACCAGGGGCCGCAGGTTAGCGAGGCGCAGTTTGATGTGAGTTTTTGTGTTCTTCGTGTTATATACGTCCTTCCGCCGCATCTCCTCGCCCCCGTCGTCGGGCTCTCTTCCCCGCCCACCAACGACGGTGGACGGTGGACGATGAGGGTGTCGTCGTCCTCCGTCCTGCGGCCGCGGCGGTGCTTGCGCTCCGTCGTCCAAGGACGGGAACCGACAGGAGTTCCTTCGTCTCGCGCCCCCTCCTTCCCTCCCTCCTTCCTCTCCATACACAAACGCTAATCCCTCCCTCTTCCCCCAGCGCATCATGTCGTACATCGACTCGGGCAAGGCCGAGGGCGCGACGGTGCACACGGGCGGCGAGCGGCACGGGACGGAGGGGTACTTTATCCAGCCGACGATCTTCACGGACTGCACGTCCGAGATGAAGATCGTAAGGGAGGAGATCTTTGGGCCGGTGGGGGTTATTATTAAGTTTACGGATGAGGCGGGTGAGTTTTGGGTTTCTTCTTCCCTTTCGTCCTTGGTAGCTAAAAGGAGGTCGTGGCACAGATGTGATCCGGCAGGCGAACGACACGGTGTACGGGCTCGCGTGCGCGGTGTTTTCGCAGAATATTAACCGCGCGCTGGAGACGGCGCATAAGCTCAAGGCGGGGACCGCGTGGGTGCGTAGATTTTCTTTTGTCTATTCCCTCGTACACGTCCCTCTCCATCCTCCGACGCCTCCTTCCCTCCATCGTTTTCCCCATGCGTCCCTCCATTACTCTCGGTGCCTCCCTCCCGACGCCTCCCGTCGCCCGCGTAACCCACCACGGGCGCTGACGCCTCCACCGCGTCAAGGAGTGCATGACGGCTCCTCCCCGCTCTCCCCTCCCCTTCCCTCCCCTCCCCCTTGCCATCGACGCTGAGGCCTCTCCCGTCTCCTCCTTCCCTCCTTCTGCGCATATGACCGCGAACTG